AAATGTAATAAATAAATATTGCAAATGTATAACAGTGCAGCATTTTAGAAAATGCCAGAAAAACGGTTAAATAACTGGTATTTGTATGTAGTTGTTTAGTTTAGAATGCAAAGTGGATTGCAGCAACCGATACGGGATTCTTCTTATTTTTAATCTTCGATCGCTGCGATCGATAACGTAGCATAAGTACGGTGACCATGTTGTAGAATAAAAAAGTACAGTACAAGTTTTCGTTATGCGCATATATATAATAATATTATGCGAGCTTTACCGGAAGCATAATATTAAAAAAGAACACAGTCAAAGATGGGGCTTGTATCCACATATAACGCATCAGCTGTCGTAGCTTACAGTATGGTAACGAACGTTGTCCAAAAACACATCCAAAAGTAAAATGGTAAGGGTCACGATATTCGTATTTCAATGACCTAAATACTAAAACTAATACTAATCTGAAACATATCTTTTACGTTTGGCCAGCGGACTGAGAATCCTTGAGTATTCACAGCCTTATCCGGAAAATAAGTGGATAGTTTACATGAGATGGTATATGGGGCACACATAAGGTCACGCCACTATACTGGGCTTGTAGCTGAAGTGTGACTCTCTACATTGCTTATACTGAGTAGAATTTAAAGTAACTTAACCTCTCTCCAGCTTTTTTGTATTTTCTGCTCTTTCTACAAAATGTGTATCTACTATGCTGTAATATGTGAAATAACGTAATGTCTGACATCGTATCAAAAAAAAAGTACTTTCAAAGGACAGGTTTTGAAATAAAGAAGAAAATACATTTTTAGAAAAATTAATAAAGTCAAAGGACTGGAAAAAGGACTGTCCTATGAAATAAAGTACGCATGGTCACCGTAAGCATTAGTCTATCCACGATCCAGCGACCATATGTAGTATAGTGTAGATAACATCGTGCCATGCGGATATCAAAGGTTAAATCTTTTATTTATATATTTAAAAGATCTCAAAAGTTTGTCGAATTTTATAAAAATTTTCCTGAAATTTTCGAACTTTTTATTCAGAATTTTTTGAAAATTTTCGAGTATGCAGTTTTGTAGCCATTTTTTGTCGCAGGTGTTAAGCCTTTTCTCCATATAAAGATAAATTTTATTCATGCGTTGTATGGAAGAAAACGCTCGACACCTTTGACAAAAAAAAGTTCTAAAAAATCCAAGTAACATTTAGCGACTTGAAATTTGCGCTTTATTATACTAAAATTGGTTGGGCTTCAAACTGGAAAATTTTGAATGAAGGGTTTGAAATTTTTATTGAAATTTGATAAATTTGTGTGAACTTTGTGTAAGCTTTGACATTTTTATTTATGTGGTTTCTCTTATGGATCGAACTATATTTTAAATGAAAACAAGTAAGAAAGTCTAAGTTCGGGCGGAGCCGAACATTAGATACCCGGCGCAAGTATTAATATTAAATATATGTTTTTCACCTTTCCGCAAGCTACCGCTACATGGTAAGCCGAGGTGTATCAATTTTAAGTAAGTTAGCGTCCTTAAATTTCGAAATATTGAAATTTCAAGAATTTCTGAAATTTATTGTTATATGAAAAGCGGTCGTAATTTTAGGCCGATTTCAATAATTTTCAACGCTTTGCTTTTATGTGGCAAGCACAATAACCACATCGAGTTTGGTACAAATTGGTGGAACGGTTACCGAGATACATATATGTGAGCATAAGTGGGCGGTGCCACGCGCATTTTCCAAAATTTTACCATAAACGTATTTCTTGGTAAAGAATTGTTGCAAGTGTCAATTTTGAATAAATTAGCTTTAATTAGCTGTACCAAAGCCAACAACTGTACCAAGTTTGGAAGAAATCGGTGCAGCGGTTGCCAAGATATACACATGTAGCCACAAGTGGGCGTGGCTACGCCCATTTTCCAAAAATTTATAATATTCTTATTTTTCGTCTAAAACTTATTGTAAATATAAATTTTGAGTGAATAATCTTCAGTAGTTACCGAAATATCGCAGTTTTCGTATTTCTGAAAATTACCGTTATATGGGAGGTAGGCGTGGTTATTGTCCGATTTTACCCATTTTCAATACCATCTGTCCTACGCCCGAAAGAAGTACACGTACCAAGTTTCGTTAAGATATCTTAATTTTTACTCGAGTTATCGTATGCACAGACGGACGGACAGACGGACAGACGGACGAACGGACGGACGGACGGACAGACAGTCACCGCTTAATCGATTTCTCTTTTCATCCTGATCATTTATGTATATATTTGTCTATATCTATCTCTATTCGTTTTGCCTGTTACAAACAACCGTTATGTGAACAAAGTTATAATACCCTTGTGCACAAGTGCGCTCGGGTATAATTATTCAAAATAAATAAATAAACAATAACAATATCAATTTGAATTTAACAGGGCCGGCTTTACTTAAAATGCCGCCCTGTGCGCTGTGACGCTGCAGCCATGGTGAAATTATAAGCAGTTTATCGCTTTATTTTCTTAGTTTTCTTGACATTTGGCAATCTTAAAGAAATTTTTTCAAGCAAATTTCCAAATAAGAAGTGTCAAATCTTTTGTCTCACTCTTATTACTACACCCGGTATAATTTTTACCATGCGCTGCGGTTACATACATACATATTTGAAGCGCAGTACCGGATCGCAGAGAACCTTCTGACAACTGTCAATTATTTCGATCCTAATTTTAGTCCCTCATATTTGTGTAGTAAAAAAATTTGCTGAATTGGGAGAAGAACACAAAAATATTCTTAAACTCAATAAAACTCAAACAAAATAGACTAAAAATTTTTGCCACTAAAATTAATATTTTTATGGGAAATTTTATGAAAAATGCACTCAATAAAATTGAATATGAATTGTTATTAAGCTAAAATAAGTAACAAAAACAATATCCAGTTAATTTAATATGTTTGCTTTTCATAAGAAATCTTCTCATATTCTTCAACCTAGACTTGTACGCTATCAATATTCTTAACATTTACCTATTTTTCATTACTGACTTTTCTTTGAATTTCCTATCAAGCATTTCTTTATAATTTTGCAATATTTTATTATGCTATGCTTGCTCCGATGGCAATAATTGGACACGTACATGACTAACATACACAAAGAGTTTGCTTTTATTGCAATAAAATTGAATTTATTTCTTTGTAAACCAAATAAGGGTAAATGTAAAAAATATATACACACATACATATATGTATGCACATGCGTTTTGATGCAGCTCAATAGAAAAACTTTAATATGACGAAATTTTAAAAATAAAATGCAGCATAATTAAGGGGCGGTTAGTCAATATCTGGTTAAAACAAATCGCCGGTTAAACATCGTTATCGACGTCTTCGGCTCCATGCATACAACAAAAAAGGTGAAAAAGCCGTCAGCAAAAAATATTAAAAATATTTTAAGTCAATGCGATTTTAAAGCCGCCTAAAACTTGCATAAAATTGCATGCCCAAAATTCTTCCAAAAATTCTGATTAAATAGTTCAAAATTTTGATGAAAATTTGTTGAATTTTCTAAGCTCTGTTTAAAAATTTAAACTTTGATTTATATGAATTTGGTTAAAGCAAACACCATATTTTTATAAAAAAAAATATTTCTATAAAAACCTTGCGAATGTTTAACAGAAGTCACCATGGACTCATTTTTTCACTTCACTGTATGTGCAAAATTGGATACATTTGTGTTAAAATTACGATGTTACCAACTGAAACGGTTAGCAGAATGCCAATAACCAGCACTACTGTTCGTACGAATCGGCCTGTTAAATAAACAGTCCCTGTTAGTACTACTGTAAGAAGCTAACAGGTAACAGCTAATGTACTGCAATGAGCAGAGAGATTCCAATGTCCCATATGGTCTAGTGGCTAGGATATCTGGCTTTCACCCAGAAGGCCCGGGTTCGATTCCCGGTATGGGAAGTAATTTTTTTCTTTAGTTATTTATTTTTTTTATTACTATCGATGCAATTTTAAATTTTTAGTATTTTGTTTTTAAATACGTAAATATATGTATCTTCTTGGCTCAGTGAGCAAACCCAGTCAAGTTTGTGGAGAGCTGACGGCATATGTGGAGCATTTTGCTTTTTCAAAGGCTGGAGTATACTTGTACATATAAAAATCGAGCATGCCTCTATTTGTGGAGTAGACAATAAGTGTGTAGTGTACCGCACGATCTGAATGTCGCGATGTAAACAGAATTTCACAAGCGTGCATTTTAGTGATAAAGTTAAGAATTACGTGCATACTTGTCTTTTTGAAAAAATATTTAAGTTTAAACATTTGTGCGTTTGCGCCTAAATCACGACTTTTTTGCGTAGCCAACAAGAAAAGGGCCTGTCAGGTTGGTTGAAATTTTTTGAAAAGACTTAAGTTTTCAATTTAATAATTTTGAGATTTATTTATTGTTGAAAATTTTGGTACAGTTTTTGTAGTGAAATATTTTCGGTTCTTTTTAACATTTTTATAACATTTTTTATTTGTATTTTTTTGCATGAAATTTACATACATAAGGAAAATCCCACAATTTTAAATAAAATATAAATAAAAAATGTCCTACAAATTGTAAACGAAAAAATATAATTTCTAATACCATTTGCTCAAAAAATAAATTCTTGCCTAAAAGCTGCCACAAAATTAAAAACATAGATATTTTTATTTAAAAAAATTTCAAGAGTAAATAACTTCCAAAATTATTAAATTTAATTTTTTTTTTCAGTCTACAATTTGTTCATGCTTGCAATTAAGCCTATTTTTAGAACAATTTACGCCAATAACCAAAATATTTGGACCTCTTAACATGAAATCGCTCCCATGTAGCATTGAACTTCGATTTTCTTACTAGGTAAGATATCACACTCTTATCTTTTTACTTGCCACCTGTCAACGGCCGATAATTACATCCTTAAAAAAATTTACTATAAAAGCAGAACACTTTCTTAAAATTCCATTATAAGTCAATTACTTCTATGTAGTTCACACAATCTATTACCCTTCATCCAATCCACATGAAAGTTTTTGCCTTTCTCGTTGTCGCCTTGGCCTTGGCCGCTCCAGCTTTTGGCAAAACTTACACACGCTGTACGTTGGCACAGGAATTGCTTCGTTTGGATGTACCCAAGGACCAATTGGCACGTTGGACTTGCATTGCTGAACACGAGAGCTCTTACCGCACTGACGCTGTCGGCAAAACCAACTCGAATGGCTCCAATGATTATGGCATCTTCCAAATCAACAACTACTACTGGTGTCAACCTGCGAATGGACGCTTCTCCTACAATCAGTGTAGCCTTAGCTGTGATGAATTACTCACTACTGACATTTCAGCATCGGTGACTTGTTCTCAAAAGATTTTGCGTATGCAAGGTTGGACTGCGTGGGCCACGTGGAAATACTGTAACGGTACTTTGCCCAGCATTGCTGACTGCTTATAAGTGCATTGGTGAAGTGTTGTTTGTTATTAAAAAATCAATGCGATTTTTTAGCCCTTTATTAGACTAGAATTCTTTGGGCTATAAAACTGCATATCCAATAATGTTTTAAGATTCAATTCAATTCAATTTTTATAAAGTTTGTAATAAGCAGGGAACTGATTTTATGGAAATTTCCTTTTTTTCTGCTAAAGAGATTGTGTTTATTTATAGAGATATACACATTTGATGTTGCCTTTTTTGCCTTTTTTGCCTTTTTTGCCTTTTCTACCTTTAATTGTAAAGCGCAACGAAAAAGTCCATATTCAAATTGGGCGCCACTTGTATCATATCAACACACGTATAATGAAACTAATTTATAGTTCTCCTCTTTTTACATGTAAAATAAACATTTCTAAAATAAATGTATTTTTTGATTATTTTTCGGGTTTTGCCTTTTTTGCGATTTCTAGTGCCTTTCCCTGCCTATTTCGCTATTTTACTTTGCCTTTTCCAGCCTGTTTCATTATTTTATTTTGCCTTTTTTTATAGGTTTTTAGGTCCTAAAAATCCGTTCCCTGGTAATAAGTTTGAAAATCTGATTTATATGGTTTTGTTTAAAGCATGAGTTATAGTTTTGTGAAACAATAATAAATAAATTATAACTTGAAAAACCTTTTGGATGTTAAAAAATTTAACATGTGAACAATTGAATGAGTCACTGTATATGGAATTTTCATAAGTGGTACCGAAAAGGGCATAAATGTCGTTTTATTAATTTTCAAAGTGTTAAAAAATAGTTGGTTGTGGTGTCAAGTCCTCTAAACATTTATTTAAGCTTTTAAAGTTTACGACAGTAATGTATACCTTGTGAACTTCTTAATTATCGTGCATTTTTTTATTGAGCATATTTCGTTAATTTTAAATCGCGATTTTTCGCACACATGTTTATCTTCTCTACTGATAATCAGTAAGCAAGTTATAGTAGTTTGTATATGTAACTCTTACGGCGCTCATGCAATGAGAGAAAAGTCAACCAAAAATTGGTTAATATTTATTACCAAATTCAAACTTGAAAGGGAATCAACGTGATTTTTGGTTAATATTAACAATGCCTTGGTTAATATTTTCGACAATGATTTGGTAATATTAACCACAATTTTGTTTACATTAACCAAACTCAGCCGCTTTGGAAGTGTGTCTTCAAATGTTCAACTTGAATCAATTTTCTTCGTCGTTTGATTTGGTTCTGCACTTCACAGAGGTTTTTTCGTAATTAGGAAAAACCAAAAACAGAAAAAAATATAAAAATTATTAGTCTGTTCCTTTGAACTTCGGACTAAAACCTGTGGAACTGTCAAACTAAAATTTTAGTCTCTCAAGTGAGAGTAAAAGGAGAACAGATACAGAAGTGCAAGGGAACGCAAAAAGCACTATTTCCGGTAAAAACGTCAGTCGGTTTGTTTACATGTCATTGGTACAACACTGATTTGGTTGAAATATCTCTAAATAATTATTAAAATCTATACATATTCAAATATTTCGTTGTTTACTTCCTTTTTTTTTTACAAATATAAGGTTTGTTGCTTTCAGTGCTTTCCGTTTTTGTATGCACATGCAAATATGCTGATCGTTTGACACTTTTCATGAACTTACATGAAAAAAACTGACTAGGAACAGTTGCTCAGTTAGTCTCTCAAAAGTGTTCCCACTTACAGGCTTTATGTCAACAGGAACGACTTCCTGTAAGTTCTGACTAAATCCTGTAAACCGGACTGCTATTGGAACAGACTACATGTATCGCGCTGACGGCATTCGTACTGCTGGAAGCTTGCTCGTTTAGCCACTGCCATACATACGAATTTGTTCTCAAATGTTCAACTTAGATTTCACATGATTTAGTACTTTTTTTCTAGACATCTGATGGAAAAAATTGCTATGGCAGCACTGTCTGATAACCGACAAGCAGTTGAAAACAGTTCACAAACTTAAAGAGTTGAGTACTTGAATATCATGTATGGCCTTTATAACTATAACGACTTCAAGAAGAATACTCGTAGTACAGTAATCCACATTTGTCTGGCAAAATAACTTCCAAGTGTATTACCATTTTCATATTTATACTTCAATTAAGAGCTGGTCTCAAAAAGAAATGCAAAATGTATAATAGTAACTAGACGCCGATAACATCACTTGAGCACTGTGTTTTTGTTTATTTTCAATTGAAGCAAAACACTTTCACAAAATATACGCCTGCAATTATTTAACTGGGCAATACAAAGATAATCTTATCGCCCCTTTTCGCCACCTGCAAATATAGATAATGATATTAAGATGCACATTTAATTTTTTGCAGCAAATTCAGTATAAAAGCCATGCGATTTCTGCTTTTCTATCACAAGTTTGCATCTACCAACTAAACTATCAACATGAAATTTGTTGCCTTTGTCGTTCTGGCTTTAGCCTTGGCCGCTCCAACCTTTGGCAAAACTTTTACACGCTGCTCATTGGCACAGGAGATGTACCGTTTGGGTGTACCCAAGGATCAATTGGCACGCTGGACTTGCATTGCCGAACACGAGAGCTCTTACCGTACTGGCGTTGTCGGCCCAACAAACTCGAATGGCTCCAATGATTATGGCATCTTCCAAATCAACAACTACTACTGGTGTCAACCTGCCAATGGACGCTTCTCCTACAACGAATGCAGCCTGAGCTGTAATGCTCTGTTAACCGATAATATCGCCAATTCTGTGAGTTGCGCTCGCAAGATTCAAAGACAACAAGGTTGGTCTGCTTGGTCCACCTGGCGTTACTGTAGTGGCTCTTTGCCCAGCATTAACTCTTGCTTCTAAGTGCTTATTTGGTTCTAAATAAATACTTAGATAAAATATGATTATGTGAAAAGAGAAGGCGTTTTAAAATTATGCGATTTGAATCATATTTTTGTAGGCTCTATAGTGTAGAAAGCGTTCCTTAGGCACAAAACTGGATAAAAAAAAGAGTGAAAATTGAACTGAAGACGATGATAACGGTTTCATTTTTCCTCTAAGAAGCCGTCCGGATTCATATCGGACAAAGAGGTTCCATTCCTTTTAGGTAAGATTGATATACGAGAATGTGTTCTCCGAGCACTTAGGCAAGGGTGGGCTTTTTCGCCTCTAGATGACTGTTGGTTCCCGATCAATTGGTGAAGACCGCGTAATTCTGAAAAATGAAGTTGGCGCTTTTGCGGTCCCCATCACAGCTTGCTCCTATTTTGCTCACTATTGGTCGGTATCGTTTTGGCGCAAACAACCCTAATGGTGACTTTTCCCCAACGCATTGGCATACCACCGACAGTCAGCTGCTTTGCTCTTCAAGCTGAGCTTTTATTAACGCAATTAGTTGCCGGAAAAGTTCGCTCCAATCGATTGGAGTGATGGAAACTAGGATGGAACGAAGGGAAACACGAAATAAAACTTTGTTGCGGCCTGCATGCGACAATAGGCGTTCGGATTAGAAGCGAAATAGTCCGTCCCAAAACAATCTAAAAAATGGAAGTGTCAGAACTTAACGAAGAATAGCTCGTAGCTAACCAAATAAGGAGAAGAAAATGGCGGTAGATAGCTCACATCTGTGTGGCAGCACTGGCAGCTGGACACTATTTAGCAGCGCACAAAGCTAACGAAGTTCAAGGCGCGCCTCGAACACGTGGAAGTTATATATTTGTCTCCAACTTGAAACCGTCAACTCGACTTGAAAGTTGGAGGGCATCCTTATAACACTTTCAATACGGGGAGGGCATAAAAAACACTTCTCTAAACCAAGTTCAGTCGGAATACTTTGCAGAGGTCTCATGATAGAGAAACTGTTGGTTGGTAGCAGTGCTTCATAGTAACTTACTGCGATAAAATTGACGCATTGATGCACTTTCGTAGTGATGATAAACATCAAGCTTTTTGCCTAATAGCTTCTAGACCTCGGCATTTACAAAGGAAATGCTGGTCACTTTCTTCGCTACCTTCTATTTAGTTGACAACTATGGAAAGTCATATGGTAACCGCATTCCTGTTACATGTTTGCCCGTGAGTCAATGAGCCGTAATGGTTGCTACAATTTTAAATACCTCTGTCCTTGATCTAGTATCTTTAACCTTTTATAGTCGGGCCTAAGTTCCTAGGGAATTTTGGAAGTTTGTGTATCCGACCCCATTTTTCTTGCACAATTCGATAGAATAATATACAAAATTATGACCTCCAATGGAAATGCTTTCGCACAGCGTCATTGCTATTAAAACGAGTAGGTAATTTCAATGCAAAACCGCAAATGAACGCATAGCGCTCGAAAGCGCTCGAGCCAAATTTTATAGCTAAATCGCGGTCAATCAATGCAATTTTTCCCTGCGGATCAGAGATCAGTTATAATCAGAGTAAACGATAGAAATTTTCTTCACAAATATGCAAAGCCAAAGAATGGCATTTTCTTAGGCTCATAACTAGTTAGCATTGTGTTTAGGTAATTTGCCACTCGGTACTTAGTACTGCAACCACTTTAAAATTCGAGTGGTTTACAATTCAATGAAGTTCAACTGTATGCGTCTCATTGAGCAGGCGCGCATTGTGCGCAGTTAGGAGGCGTAGCTGAAGTGGTTGGAAGTAAAGCTAAATCTTATGATTACCGCCAAAGGCTTTGCGCGTTCAAAGCGTCTGCAAAAATAAACAAAATAAATACAAAAACAATATCTACTAATTCGAAAGAGGAAGGAAAAAATAAAGTTTGCGCTTGGTGTTGGTACAGACTGGTCGGCTGGTGGGTAGGCAATGTGGCAATGGTGAGTGAGCTACGAAAAGACGCTGGTGCCTCCAACTGGTAATGGTGTTGGTGGTGGTGGTGGGAGCTCATTGACTGCCTTCGGAAGCTATGGTAGGCGTGAATTAAGCGCAAGTGAATAAGCAGCTAAAGTGTGGCGGTGGGCAATAAAGCTGCGTGCGCATTGAATTATGCGAAATTTAAGTGAAATATGAATGAATAAAGTTTTCTTTTTGTTTTCATCTTTTCTTTGTATCTTGAAAATCGCGTAGGAGAAATTTTACAAAGT